CAGTGTAATAATATTTACTTTTCTTTCACAAATGCAAAAGAAATATTTTAGCCCATAGAGCATGGTTGCATTTTTTGTGATAATTACAAAGGCTATTTGTATGAAACTCTGCCCCTCAAAGATCAGTCCTGGACCCCTCTGAGATCTGCACCGTGGACAGCTTCCTAGTTTACCTAATAGCATTGCCCCTGGTTGGCTGCTCTATTGCAACTGTCCAGATTGTACTCATATAGATACAAAGGAGACCGCTGGAGCACCCCTGCTTTTGCTGATTCAGTTGAGGAGTGTCTTTAAGCAAAGAAGCCCTCTCTCATCCAGCAGCAACAGCAAGAACACTGACTCGGGGTGGCACTGTAAACTTTGAAAGGTTCATGATCTTGCGAAGGAGGCTTGAGGCAGGATATGATTTTAGAAATTAATGCATATATATTGAAAATGACCCCAGGGTTGAGCTAGGAAAAGTAAGGAGGAGAGTGCTTTTGGCTCTTGTTCTTTGGTGACAACTGTAAATTTGTTTCCCCTCGTGCATTTTAGATTGCTTATTTTGTGACTCTTTCTAATGTAAACAGAAATTGGAAATGGTTTGAAGCATCCGTATTCCCAGTGTGAGGATCCATGGGCATCAACTTTGTAAACAAGCTTTCCTGTCACACTCTTCTTCGGACACAGTTGCCTCCTGCACCTTTTGCAACAATCACAAGGGACAGTAGTCATTTTTTTTAAAAAAAAAGTTGACATTTTAATCAGTATTTACAAGGAGGTGCTAGAAATCTGATACCCTTACATTTCCCATAAGGGAGAGACTGATTCATCCACCTGTATAACAAGTCTATTACATGATTCAGCAAATAAATGTATATAGAGTTCTTTGAACACTTCCCTGGTGTTTACTATTACACATTTGCTGAGTTCTGCTGACAAACTTTATTCACTCACATCTTCTACTACTGTTGCATTTAATTATTTGACTTATAGATGGTAGCATACTCTACCAAAACAGAATTTTAACTATATTGTCAAAGGCTTTCACTGGGTTTGTTGTAGGTTTTTCACTTGTGACCTCACAACCTCTGAAGATGCCTGCCATAGATGCAGGCTAAACATCAGGAGAAAATTACTCTTAGAACATGGCCATCTAGCCCCAAAAAAACCTACAACCCTATTGCCCAGAGTTTGACTGTTGGAATAGGACTCCAGGAGACCCAGGTTCAGATCCCCGATTCATGTTAAAATCAGCAGCAAAGTGGGATGACTAAGAATTAACCAGGACTGTCTGCCAAATAAGGACAGTTGGGGCATATGTATCTGTACATTTATATTTTCTGTTCAAATGGTGGTACATTTCATATAGTTGGAAGAGACCTCAAGGGCCGTGCAACCCAATTCCTGGCCAACACATGATCAAAGCACTTCTGACAGATGACCATCAAGTTTCTGCTTAAAAACCGCTTTGAGTCTCCTTGTGGAGAGAAAAAGCTGGGTATAAATAAACACAACAACAACAACCTCCAGAGAGGGAGCACCCACCACATTCCAAGGCAATCAGTTCCACTGCTGGACAGCTCTTACCATCAAGAATTTTTCCTAATGTTTAAATGGGTTCCCTTTTCCTACAACTTGAATCCGTTGTTCAGTGTCCTAGTCTCTTGAACAATAGAAAATAAGATTGCTTTCCTCAGTATGACATCCTTTCAAATATTTAAACATGGCTATAATGTCTCCTCTTAATCTTCTCTTCTTAAAGCTAAACTTATCCAGCTCTCTCAACTTCTCCTCATAGGACTTACTTCCAGACCTTTGACCATTTTTGTTGCCCTTCTCTGGACACTTTCCATTTTGCCAATATCTTTCTTGAATGTGATGTTCAGAACTGGATATAGTGTTATTCTAGTGAGGTCTGACCAAAACAGAATGGAATGGTATTCTTACTTCCCTTGATCTAGACCAGTGGTTCTCAACCTGGGGTCCCCAGATGTTTTTGGCCTTCAACTCCCAAAAGTCCTAAGAGCTGGTAAACTGGCTGGGATTTCTGGGAGTTGTAGGCCAAAAACATCTGGAGACCTCAGGTTGAGAACCACTGATCTAGACACTATATTCCTATTGATTCAACCTAGAATCACATTGGCTTTTTTACCCAACACATCACACTTGATTGTGTGTGAGTGTGTGAGGAGCAACTTGAGAAACTACAAGTCACTTTTGGTGTGAGAGAATTGTTCAACTGCAAGGACGCTGTCCAGGGGACGCCCAGATGTTTTTGATGTTTTACTATCCTTGTGGGAAGCTTCTCTCATGTCCCCACATGGGGAGCTGGAGCTGACAGAGCTTATTCGTACTCTCCCTGGATTCAAACCTCTGATCTGTCAGTCTTCAGTCCTGCTGGAACAAGGGTTTGATCCATTGTGCCACCGGGGGCTCCTATCACACTTGATGAATGTAATGTAATGTCATCTGATGTCTTGTTCATGTCAAAAACTCATCAAGAATCAAATATTAGATCTCATTTTAATCTAGCATTTAGCAAAACGTTTAAGTGAAAATAATCCATCAGCTAAATCCAACTGGGGTTGATCCTATAAATCAATGACACTTGCATAAGTTCTATTGATTCAACAGATTACTTTAGTTAGGACCATCAGTTCATTTAGGCTTATGGATTTAGCTGCAAGTCACTAAATGAACTGGAGTGACAGGAACTTGCACACATATAAATCAGTGCTTGAATTTGTATCTTTAAAAAGTTTTAAATTTCAACTCTTTTTATTATTTATGTCATTCAATGAAAACAATATTTCTTAGATTTTGAAAATGAACAGTTCCTGATCTTTGAGAATGGGGATCAAATAATCCCCTTCGTGCCTTAGCAATCTTTAAGGGAAAGGCATGGAGTAGCCTTCCGCTATGATCCTGATTCAGTTGGTGGAGAAAGTGCTTCTAGTATCAAATTTCTTTCTTTTCTCTGATATACCACCCTTACTTGTGAACTAGATAGCACCCGAGGAAAAATAGTATTTGAGTGAATTTCTTTTTAAAATTTGAAGATGGACGGAGCACTACTAATAGACTTCTGGGTCATTCGCTGCAGATCATTAGCTTTACGATTTCCAACTGTTTTAACAACCATGACAACAAAATGACTTTTCACACCCAAATTAGGCTATTAAAATGAAGCAAGCTTGAGTTACCAAGAAGTGGACTTGATATAAAGGCCCTGCAAGCTCATTTCCATGCTGGGACTAAAACTAAATTGCGTGCTCCAGAATGTGCTTAGCAATACACTATTTTGAATTTCCAGCTGCATGTTTTTTGTACCTGCCTCTGGTAAAATTAAGCATCTTGTTATTTTAATTAAAACAGAAAACAGGTCCAAGCTTGAGGTCTGATCATGCTGTTTTGCAATCAGGCACCAGAATTGGGTTAAACCCCTTTCTTTCTTTGGCAAAATCCATAGAATTGTATAATCTTTGATGAGTATTTTATTTTTTATTTTTGAAGTCTTACACTAAGACATTCCAACAGTATTTCTTTGGACTTCTAATTACTTACTATTTCTGGCCTTAGTATCCACTGCTCTGATGTATTTTGAATGAAAATACCTCCTCAGCAGAAATGTCAACAGCACCTTGGCAAAAGTGCTTTGAAAGGACATAACACTGGTTCTCTTTTGTTAATTATGAGATGCATGATAATGTAGTAATTTAATCTCTGCCTTGCAATTTCACTTAAAAGCAAATGTTTTGTAAGGTGTCAACCACTTTTTCATTTTTTTAAGAAAAAAAACTGAGAATGAGTCTTGAATTTATAGAAGCTGCTTGGGTTCCCCCTCCCCTATGCATTAATTTTGGTATATTCTCTTAAATAGGATTGTTAGCTTATGCACATGAGTTCCTGTCAGGAGCAATGGCATGGAAAAGAAGCTTTTAGCATCTTCTAATCCTGTCAGCCTTTTGTCATACTGATTTACACAGTGATTTACATACATTACCTTGCGGGCTTCAACAGTCAGAAGAAGTGCTATTGCATTGAAATTTAACTGGTGCCTTTGCTGGCACCCTAAAATTTTTATAAAGTAAGTTTCAGACTATTTCACATGGATCTTTCCCCCCAAAACTGAATCTGTGGCTTGTTTCTATATGTATAAATTAGGCTAAATATGTGACTATGTCTTCTAAAAGTGTTGTGAGTCCTGTGGAAGTATAATTTGGACACCTGTTTTAGGAAAGTCTCTTTCATAGAAGTGGACATGAACTTTGTTTTGCTTCTATGTAGGAATAAAACAAAATGAACAGTAGTAATTAATGATCCGTTTTCAGTGCCTATGTCTGCTGTTCATCATTGCCATTTGGTGTGTGTGTCTGCCTACCTGCCTGCCTGCCTTCAAGTCCCCTGTCAACAACTTAGTAGTAGTAGTAGTATACTAATTTTACCCCACTTTTCTCTCTGGGTCAAGACACAAAGCAAGTTATAGCAACCCTATACATTTCATAGAGTTTTCTTATGCAAAAGGATATCCATTTGTGGTTTTGTCACTTCCCTCCTCTGAAATATAGCCTATAGCATCTGATATTCACTGGCAATCTTCCATCCAAGTACTAACCTGTTCCTGTTTAACTTCTGTGATCAAACATGATCTGGCCATAATATTTTGTTCCAGGTAAGCCAATAATGTGATCTGGCCAGGTGTAATGGCTTGAGAATTGGATTATGATTTTGGAGGCCTGAGTTTGAATCCCTGCTCAACTATGGAAACCCACTGAGGGACCATGGCCAAGCTTCGCTCTCTCAACCTCACAGGATGGCAAAACCAAATCTACTTTGAACACATCTTGCCATAGAAAATCCAAGGACAGGGTCATTTTATGATTGTCATAAGTAGAAAATGACTTGAAAGCACACAAGGCTAATCCAAATCTAGTGTGAAGCACTTCAAGTTGACCTCTTGTGGTGATCTCTGATTCTTCAAATGATTTCTTAACCATGCCTTTTTTTCCCTTTTGCAGGTTATTTCCAGGATTTGTTGAACAAGTCAGAGAAGGCCCTTTATGAAACATTTCCTAATATGTATGGAGATCTTTACCTCCAGAATGTAAAACTTTTCAAAGACTTATATAGTGAGCTGAGACGTTACTACCGTGGTTCCAACATCAATCTTGAAGAGGCCCTTAATGAGTTTTGGACTCGCCTGCTAGAGCGGCTCTTCAAGCTTATGAATCCTCAGTACCACCTTCCTGATGAATATGTGGACTGCATGGTGAAGCATTCTGAGCAGCACAAACCATTTGGAGAAGTTCCACGGGACCTGAAGCTGAAGGCAACAAGGGCCTTCATTGCAGTTCGATCTTTTGTGCAAGGCCTTGGAGTAGGCAATGATGTTGTGCGCAAAGTCTCCCAGGTAGGTCCATAGGTACAATTCCTTTGTAATCACCATTCCTGAGAAGCTCTCAAGTATCTATTTATTCTTAATTTTTACAGTGGTGATTATTTTTATGCATATCAGGTGATATGGGCATTCCATTTTCTCTGAATGAAGTACTGGGTTGGATGAGAAAAAAACAAACTGAAACTGAATCCAGTCTGGACATAATAATTTGAGTGCACAAGTAATAATTCTTGAGAATTCCTGGAGAATGTTGTTCCCATCTTCAAAAGGGGTGGGGGAGCTGGTTTGAATAATGACTCTCCAGTCAACATGATGTCAATATCAGGAAAGCTTTTAGAGCAGATTGTTAAACACAACATCTATAAGCACTTAGAAAGTGATGCTGTGTTCACTAAAAGTCAACAGTTTTTCAAAAACAGGTCATGACAGTTTAATCTTTTCCTTTTTTTGATAGAGATACAAGTTTGGTAGATGAAGGAAAAGCTTTGGATATAGCATGTATTTTTTCAGTAAGACCTTCAACAAGTTCTCGGTGATCTTCTCACAAAGAAGCTAATAAATTGTGGACTAGAACAGTGGTTCCCAATCTTTGGTCCTCCAGATGTTTTGGACTTTAGCTCCCATAATTCCTGAGAGCTGGTAAACTGGCTGGGATTACTAGGAATTGAAGTCCAAAACATCTGGGGGACCAAAGGTTCAGAATCACTGGACTAGACAATGCTACTGTTTGTTGGATTGTAATTGGTTGACTTGCTGAACCCAAAGAGTGCATCCTAGAAAGAAGTAATTAGTGGGGTTCTACAGAGTTGTGTCCTGAGCCCAGTGCTATTTAATATGTTTTATCTATGATTTGGATGATGAAATAGAAGATATGTTCGTCAAATTGGCAGATGAGACCAAATTAGGAAAGGTACTCCAGAAGATAGGATCATAAGCCAAAGTAACCGTATAGATTGGAGACCTTGGCCAAAGCTAACAAAATGAATTTCAATAGGGAGAAATATTAAGATACTACACTTAGGCAGAAAATATACAATGCACTGACAGACACCTGGTTGGACAATGGTACACGTGAAAGGGTCTTATTATGGGACAGCTGTTCCTGGGTCTGTCCTTTGCTGCACAACCATGGTTGAAATTGGATTTTGTTTGGAAAGAGTTCATATTATAGGTTCTTCCTTTGCCAGGGTCATCAAGAGTTTGAGGATTATCACACAAGACCTGTGTTATAAAGAAGGATTGATGTCACTTCTACAGTACATTGTTAAAGATAATGCTGGGAATGGCATTTAAGCCACTAAGTATTTGCACTTTTGTTCTCTTACTTCATGCTGAAACACATCCATATAATACCACTCTTCACTTTATGCACCAAGAATGTTCACTGTGGTTTAAAGGCTGTGTTTTGGTTGATTTATCTCCCTATGAAAAGTTATGTGATTTCACAGCACAAAATTCCATGTGTCATTTGAAGCTTATTCTTTAGAGTGCAGGTGCAAGGACTGAGTTAAAGGAAACAGTGGGTGGAAGGCTGATATTGCTCACATATTTTATACCACAAAACCCACTGGTGTTGAAGAAAAATCAGGGTGTGACTAAATTGTGAATGCTCAAATTGTACCAGCAATTGATCTCATCAGACTGAGGGGTTAGAAGAAGGGGGTGCTCTTTCATGCTCTAAGTTCAAACTCAAAAAAGAGAAACATTCAAATCATAACAGTGACCAAAGCTTTGATTTATAAATTGCACATATAAAGACATTCAAGAGTGACAAGGCTTTTATACATTTTATTAGCATTGCACTTTCATGACCCATCAAACTGTTTAAAAAAAACAGGAAAATGACATAACTGAAATTGGAATTCTTAAAGCCCTTTGCCATTTTTTTTTCTTTCTTTCTTTTTTCCTTTGGCGTTTCAACCTAATCTGCATTATAACATTTGTCATGTGTTGGGCATGAAGAAATAAGTTGACTCTTTAAAGGAGACATTTTCCTTCTCAACTTTCTTCTGAACTTCTAAAATGGGAGAGAGGGAGGATGAACCACTGCTTGAGCATCATTGATTTCAGGTCCAAGAACATGTTTCAGGGTTTCCATTCACCAATACCCATTCTTACAGCTCCTTACACGGGAATCCAGTACATAGTTTATTTCAATGAATGTGGGAGAAGTGAAGTGTCCATGGCTCAAGGTGGCTTGCTAATTCAAATAGTGTTTATGAAAGCTTAGAATTATGACCTAACAGGTACCTGATAGAATATATAGAATCCATTTAAATTCCAGCCTCACTTTAACAGTATGTTAGTTGAGAATTTTGTTTTATCCAAATACATCACATGGATTTACAAATCTTTTTCTTGATACAGAATATGAGGTTTAAAAATGTTAGAAATGAATCATAGAGTTGAAAGAGACTTTGTGGGCCATCCAGTCCAACCCCCTGCCAAGTAGCAAGAAAATCACATTCAAAGCACCCCTGACAGATGACCATGCAGCCTCTGCTTAAAAGCCTCCAAAGAAGGAGCCTCCACCACACTCTGAGGCAGAGAATTCCACTGCTGAACAGCTCTCACAGTCAGGAAGTTCTTCCTAATGAATACAGGAGAATGCCAAACTGGTAGATTTCCCCATCCCTACAAACCCATTCACTTCTAAAAAATTAATTTTAGTTACTAGTAGGTATTCAGTGGTAAGATAAGGGATTTATTTTTAGTTCAGAAGCATAAGGATGATGGAAGGTGAAGATGTGGATGAGTTCCATTCCATGTGTCTTGCTAACAGGGGAGTCTTGTGATCTCTTTTCCTAAAGCGTATCTAAAACCAGAAAATGAGTTTATACCATTTTGAGCCATGATTGTATTTATACCTGTAAACAAGGATATATGTCAGTCCTTAATATTCTTCCTCATTGCAGCTGTGATGATCCTCCACCCATAAATTTAGTGCAAACTAAACAAGGGAAATGGTGGTTTTTATAACAGGGCCTCTGAGAGAGCCAGAAAGTAATTGGAGAGCAAGATTATGTCATTGGCCCCATGTCAAGCTAGGCTATGAGATTTATTGCTTTTTAATGACTTCTGACTTCACATTTTGCCCAAGTCAAAGTTCTGTCCTTGCCACCAGCTGCCAAACCCTGTTGTCATTCTAAGGTTTCAGCCATCTCCTTTTTCGATTTGCACTTCAGTAAGCTTTGTGTATCATGGAAGCTCTGGTGGTGATTGAAAGGCATAGGTGCAGGGTTGTGTCAAGAGAGAACAGGCTGGAAACTGCCTTATGAATTGAATATCAGAACAGGGCCAGCTGCGTAACTCTGCCCATAACCTCAAGGTTTCTCTGTAGGCCTCTCTCCAGAAAAGGCAATATGGAATTATGTCTCCTAACAGTCTGTCAAAATCAGTCAGGCCCAGTTTTCATAACTGGGCCTCGAGCTTCCTGATTACGTTGAATTAAAAACAAGAATTTCTTCTTTAATGGCTTTACCAAGACATCACTAAAACATCTTTGTGCAATAGCTAGCAGATTTTCAGGAATATTTTAACTTCTATGACTGAAGTTCTTTCCTCTAAGAAAGCATTTTGTATTATCTATAAGACAACATGATTTATTTGTACCTTCCTAATCTTTTCCAGTAGGCTTACAGGATTTAATAAAATAAACCAGGGCTAGAACAAACAGTGTGAATGAATTTATGAGTGCTTTTCTTACATCACAAGATGAATTTTTGTCAGTCACTCTGTGGCGAGATCCAGGTGGAAGTAGATCACTCAGTGGACCCAGCATCCATTCCTATGTGACACTACAATTTGGAAGGATAGAGTGATCATTTTTCTCTAGATTTGTAGATCTCTGGGCAGAAAAGTCTATTCCACAGATATTAGAAATGTGAACAGCCAAGTGAGACAGACAGTGAATATTTATTAGTTTCTAATAAATATTATGTGAAATGCAAGAGGAACATCTGATTCTTTTTGTACATGAGTTGACAATCAGCAAGTGGCTATTAACAAGATTGTGTTCTACTTGGCAACCAAATGACTATGTTGATTTCACTTAACTAGCCATGCATTTCTCTGTAAAATGAACATATTGTCCACATTCTTCAAACACAAGTTGAATGATGCAAAAAAAATCTCTATTTTCTTTCTTTTTTGGCATGCATCTTCAGTCCTAAATCAAATTGTAACTGTATCAAATAATTCTTGAGAAATAGTAATCAAATTCAAAGCAACGAGTCACAGTTTTGGTCAGATTTACAAGACATCTGTACCTTTCATAATTCCATTTATTAATTTGTTTGTTTTTAGATGGGAGGAAATTTCATTCTAGAATACACTGGACCATAATGTTCCAAAACAAGAAATATTAATCTTTAAGAAGGGTTGTAGTCACATCTGCACTTATATGAAAGACTATACCATATATACACAGTTCCCCACATATAGGCCACCACCCCAACATTTTTAAATTGATCCACATAGCCAGAAAATTGGTATTTAATATACATTAATAGGGTAGGATGCAGGATTCTCTGTTATAAAATAACGGTAATCCAGGCAAAACTACTTTTTTTTCTGGACAAGGATTTGTCAGAGTTTTTATCACCTTTCATGAAAAGCTTGCCTTCCTCCCTAAAATATCTTGTTGTGTCTAAAACTCCAATGACACTTTTGAGTTTCTGGGAGTTGTAACTTGGAGGGCTGTGATTGAATTCAGCCTCAGTGATAAGCATCAGTGTTTGGCACATTATACCAAAATATGCTGTTTCCATCACTCTTTCCATGACACTTTGTGTTAATGCTAATAGATCATCTTCACAAAGGACTGTATATATAAATGTCTCTTGTTTTTCACTTTTAATTTCTAAGTAGTTCTATTGTAACAGAGCATTCGACAATAAAGCAAATAATAGAATCATAGAGTTGGAGGAGGCCTTGTGGGCTGTCCAGTCCAGCCTCTTGCCGAGAAGCAGGAAAATTGCATTCAAAGCACCCCTGACAGGTGTCTATCCAAC